TCGCTTACTAGTTTATTATAAGTTTTTGTTCTTTTAGCTCGGCTTTTCTCCCCTTGATCTGTTAGCTGAAAGTGGTCGTCATGATGCTTAGAATCTCGGAGCAGTCACTGTGAAACTGTGAACTGTTTTGACACTGTTCAATGACATCAGTAAAACGAATTTAAAAAGTGATGTTTTCAGCCAAATGTATATTTTTGCTTAAATTTATACGCTGGTAGTAGTGGTAATAGCAGTTAGTAATTAGGGTTTAATTTCTTATTTTAAGAATTAATTTCAAATCTTCCAATGTGAGTTGTCCGGGGTCTCAAATATCTTTATATCAGAAACAGTTATTTGGAATAAGTATTCTATGAATCATCATATTCTTGCAGCCAGATACTGATATGAGAATTCTAGTTTTTTCAAAAATTAACTTGCTAGAGTTTGAGAATTCAGTAGTATTGTTCTTGACATAACTTATAAAATTCTTTTTACCATTACCAGAACTGCCGGAAATGGATACATATCTGTTGGGGAAAGGAGAATGAGTATGACGGGGAAGTGAAGACGCTATGCTATGATCAGTTCCTTCGATTTTATTTGTTACAGTGTTGGCCATGTGAATTTAAATTGGTAATTAGCTATAAGCTAGTAGAACCTTCGTGCTGTCATCAGAACTGTTTGGATTTTCTCCAGCCGTTTGTGCAATTTCCCCATTTTTCTGTAAAGAAGTCCATTCTTATTGCCTATGAGGATACAAGAGGTGGAAAGTGGAGAGCGACTATGAAACACTAGCCACATCCTATCAGCAGAAGAAGGCTCAGCAACCAGTGAAATTGGTTTACTAGCGGTAGATTAGAGCCTAATCTATAATTTTCGTACATGAAATTTTTTCAAAACTGTGCTTGAAAGAAAGTGCCGGCTGATAGGGATTTTGCCAGATCTGGCCTACAGTGAGTTTTTTGATTACTTGTTTCTGCTATCTTTCAGTCTCTCCTACTGTAACTAAGCGTGAAGCGACGTCCTTAGCACTTTCAGATAAGAGTTCCAAGTTTCTCTCGACATGAGAAATTTAGAGGGAAACAGGTAAATCGTTGAGTAGAAGGAAAAAACCCTTTATAAGAAACGTTTTTTAGTCGAAGATGGGGAGGAATTTTTTAAAAAACGAGTCAAAAAGTGGCTTTTTCTTACTCTGGATCACTGTCGTTTAGCAGTCAGACGGTTACACGCACTGACAAAGAGTTAAGACAGGGATTTAGAGCGTTGCAGTCAGTAGTGAGGTGACCAGATGACATGATCGGACCTACAAAAACTCGCGGGTGACGCGGGAAAACCAATTGATTTTGTGAAATGAGATTTAAGCGGTGCTGCGAAAAGCTTGCTAACTCAGTGCTTATAACAGTAGCCAGGGAAGGTATATGACAAGGACACAAATCCCGTCTGGAGCCTAAATTTTGCCTGTCACTAAAAAAAATTGCGATATTTTGATATATTACGTAGGTTTGTAGGGGACATAGGTTTGGTTACTATGTGGCTGGAGAGCTAAGGCGGTAGGGTTTAGTAATGGATTACTAGGGTTCATCCTTCACGTTTTCTATTTATAAGTGGTGTCCAATAGAACTGGAAGGCATCTTAGTAGGCAAGAGGAAGAAGAAAGTACAGTAAGTCTAGATAAAATTGACGGGGAGTCTTCAGCAGTTTGGTGGTGGGGGGAAGTGTATATCATGGATTTGGATATGGTCTGCTGCTCAAGCTGCTCGTTTATTACAAGAGAGAGCAGTTTCTCGAGAGCAGCCTTAAATGGATGTTCTTGAAACTTTTCAAAGGTCAGCATTTGCTGAGAGTATAAAGAAGTTATGGTTTCTGGAAAACTTACTGACTGCAAGCGGACTGGTGTTATTGAGTAGCAGTGTAAGTTCAAGCTAGACCACTATTTTATGTTTATTTTCGCCTTTACGTATTAAGATTTGAATACTCAGAATTTCCCAACTTTCTGAAATGCTACATTAATTTCTTTACCTTAATTGTTAGCTGATTTTTTTGAAAATTTGTCAGGTTGTTTAGTGAATCTGAATTATCATGCCGGAATGAGGATGTCGGAGGAAATGCAAGTTTAAACTAGATATGTTTAGATTTTTATTTGGAATAAAGGTTTCCTTAGCATATAGGAGATAGCCGTCCTAGGTTGTTTCTTATACGCTAGAGAAAGCTTTATATGCTAAAGTCAATTTCGAAACATTTTATGTTTTTTTTTTGTTACATGGAAATGTCTTTTTGGGGATGTCATTGCTTGCTGATTTTGTTATTTTTGCTTCGTTAATTGTTCTTATGTTACATCTAGATATCAGAAGGACATTCGGATTTATATATGCGCCTTATCATTTTTCCACACGACTTGTTTGTTTAAAAAGCTTGTTGTCTCTAGTTTTCCGTTATTGTTGATTTATCAGTTTTTAAGGAATACTGAAAAATTTATCGGTGCAACAAAAGGCAGAGGTTTTTGTACACCTGTAATTAAATTTAAAGCTGATCAGTTTTTCAGGTTAGTTTTTGAACGTGACTCAAGCGTAGTTTTCAAACAAATTCCTTCTGTTCATGTAAACTGACAAAACATGGACTTTTGAAAAAGCAGAGGAAAGGCAGAGACTAGTTTTCTAAAAGCTGCATGGATTCATGTACTTAGCTTTTATAAAGTTGAGCGTTAGGATCGAGAGTATTTAGTAGGTGACTCGGTACTGGATATAAAAAAGGTTGATTTCTTTGCGAAATACTTTATCGTTAATACACCTTTTTATACGCTTTTTATTGGGGCTTGTGTGCTTATGAACAACAACTTGTTGAACTCTCAGCTACATGCAATCTAAACTGGATGGACTGACACAGAAACCAAGGTATGAGCGTCACCAGATGATCTCCATCCATGCCCAGCCTCTGTTAGTGACCAGAACCATATGGCATTAAATATCGGCATGAAATCCACTAAATTTGTTGTTTTCACGGCTTAAGTTTGTGCTTCGTAAATTACTTGAACTTTACATTATCTTCTCAAAGTTTTAGTTCTGGAGGAACTCATGAAGCAGGATGTCTAAAGCGTGGTTTTTGCGTTCTAAAGGTCTTTTAAGTTAGGAATAACTAAAGAACCAAAAACTTAATGTAGCTTTTGCGCTGCGGTTTTTTCCACTTTATTCAGAACCGTACCGTTGAGCGCTGCTTGATACGATGGTTTTGCAACACGGAGAGGTTTTTCAGTAATGCATCTTTTTTCTTAAAATGAGCATATTTTGATGCTATTAATTAGGACTATTTGCATGGATCCAAACATTAATTTTTTGGCTGATTAATTACAATTAGATGAAGAGAAGTTTCAGACTATCTCTCGCTTTTGTTTGTCACAACTCCATGGGGGAAAAAAAAAAAAAAGAAAAAAAAAAACAGCTGAACGAAGAAGTTGAACCAAGTTATTTTTTATGTGTGGTTTCTGTACAGTTTTCATATTTGCGCGTATTCCTGAAATTTAAAATGAATAACGTTTGAAAACTGATTACAAACAAATTACAAAGCATGTTTTCTGTGGCCAATCATGTCGTTTTTTAATGCTTCAGCTAGGTAACTGAACTGGACGGCAACATCTGCCAGTGGCTACGGTTTGTCTTTGTTTAATTTTATTTCTATGAACACCACTGCTTTTTCTTCACTTTTTTTTGACCATCTGTAGTGTTCACCTGGTAAAATGTAGGATTATCGAAGTAAATATCGGTTTTTTACTGCCCAGTGTTTCACTGTTAAATAATCATGATCAAGAGTGATTGAAAAAACCTAAGTAACTCTTACTGGCGGCAGCTCCTCTGTTTCACGCATGATGGGCGTATTGAATTGAATTCTTACAAACTTCTAGCGGATGATACTAATTTTAGTGTTCTTTTTTTACTCCTAATTATTAGTCCTTGATCCTGAATGCTCCATCTGACGTTACCACCACTTACAAAAACACATCAGCATGTTCGTCATATCAAAGGATATGTAAAACAAAAGTTTGCGCAACAGGTAGGCAGTGATCACTAATTGATTATCACCTCTTCAGGTGATCACAGCTTGCAAGCCTACTTTAAATGGCAGAACTTTTAATTGAATAAATCGTACAGAGTCGGAAGTTGGGATTAACCTCATAACTATTTTAAAGTGTCAAGGAGTTTCGTAGTGCCCATTTCCTCGACGACTGGAACTGTTATTTCCAATCTTTCTTCCAAGGAGCCTCTTAAAAAGAGAAACATCTATTTGAAAAAAAATTCTTTTTGTTTACCTTGGACAATTAAACTATTGAGCTTATTTGCTGTTCAAGGACTGCCTTCTGCATTTGATTCTTTAGATGTTGTTTAGAAAAGCAGTTATAGTCGACATATTCTTTGCCGATACTGTACAGCCTCCTTCGGTGCTTATTCCTTTTAAAAGTTATTGGTAAAGCAAAAATGTGGCAAGAAGTGTTCCTGAAGGAACTGCTGTGATTGGAGTATTTGAGGACATTTTCGTTTGTAGGCGTCGAAAAAAACATTAAAAAAAAAATTAAAGGGATCTTCTACATTCCTCTGTACTAGACCTCTTGTTGATCAAATTTTAAGTATATTTCGTCACCGCCTCTCGTGATCTTAAACTGTTGGTGGTCTTTTAAGCAACTGGATGCATCCCATCAAAATACTGTACGCGTTAGGTATTCTAGTTGATTGCCGTGCCGTTGTTAAAGGCTAGTCAAAATAGCAGTCATGGTGTCTTCATATTAAGAGATTAGTAGCGCAGTATGTGAGTTGCGCATGGAGTTGGAGGATATGAATTAAGAAATAAATGAATAAAGATTAGCAAGAAGTTAACTATTTGACACCTTATTATTGCTGTGAATAATAAAAGCAGTAGAAAAAGAATTTCATGCATTTTGGTTTTTATGCTTCAGTGAAGTTAAGTGGTAGACTGTGGCTTTGAAAATTTCAGGTGTTACAACAAGTGGCTGTTTTTTACGAAAATCGTGTACAATGAACTACCTAACAGAAGATTTTGATTCTTTAACAGCGCTTCCGTTGGGCATTTGGCAAACGGAAAATGAATGTACGTTTGAAGAGCTGCCGATTCGTAATGGCCTTCAGTACGACTCAGTTTGTGTTGATAATCACTCCGATCGAGCATCTCCAAACGTATCCAAAACGTACACAGAACTTCATGTATTTCCAAAGCAAGAAGTGGATTCACCTTCATTCCTACCGCTCGCAATTCCATTTACTGATATCACTAATGCAGAAAATTATGAGCAAAACGTTTGTGCCATGGTGGAGGAAGAAAGCTACCCAAAAGGTGAACAAGAACAAATTTTTCTTTCAATTTTTCTTTTTTAGAAGGCTGCGAAGTTACAAATACTTTGCTATCCCAAGCAGGTAACATATTTTTGATTCCATTGTTTTAACGCTCGCGCTAAATATATTTTTACAGCTTATTAAAGTGCGAGTTTCTCGTGTCAACATTAATGTGCTTGATTTTGGGTATTGTAAAATTCCATTTAGCTGGTCCTTCTAGTATGCTGAACAAGAGCTTCAGCAGCTTCGAGTACTTACTTGTCAGGACCGTATCTCCCTGATACTTCAAATCTCAAGAACCGTGGACTTACGCATCGTTCACCAGTAAAGGAAAGGTCGTCCATTGGAATCAGGGAGGACGAAAATTGAAAAAAATGAAGAAGTTATTAGAGACTTTTATCTTCAATCAGTACTTCCTTAACGGCAGTTAGCGTTGCCTGTTGCTAGCGGCTACTTTTTTCGGAGGACGAATTGGGAGGTCACGTAAAAAGTCTTAGTAATAGATAAAATAAGGTGTTTAGTGGATGACGAAGAAAAAATGAGAGTCTCGGACTCGCTCGGTAAAGCCAAAAACTTTCTTGTCTTCAAGGTTTCATGCAGAAATTCACTGAGGATTTCGTTTTTGTCCGGGTACACTGGAAGATCTGTAACAAGTAACATGTTCAACTTGATAGGCCTTCTTTTTTGTTTTCATTGCGAGGCAATGGAATACATCATCCGCAGTATATTTCGTAGCATTTGACTTCGTCATTTTGGGTGTTTCTGGTCTCGTTTTGATAGTTTTGAAGTTGCAGTTTCCAGTGATCTGTGTTTTACCGATACACGTGTCTATAAAGAGACGGTCATCTAATAGAAGAAGTGATTCTGCTGTGTTTCCAGTTGGTAGTGCTTATATCGAGTCGAATTAGTTCCAGAATAAGCAATTTCATAAATTATTTAATTTTTTGGTTCTTCATTTCTAGTTTCACTGGAGCATTGGGTGTACTGTTGCTATACACTTTAGACGTGGCAATTGGTGTTACTGATGCGGTGCAGTTCGATGATCGGGCCCCTGCGAAATTCACTTTTGAAACGCGCGTTGAGCCTGTGAATCAAATACCACAAGTGTGTGCCCTGCAGAGCGTTGCTTCTGATGAAACACAAGTCACAGGTGGGGATAAGAAGCATGTGGTACATCTTACACGAAATAGAACGGCTCGAAGAAGAAACACACTAACGTCAAAAGTAAAATTTTTTTAGTTTTTAATACCCGGTTTGACTTCGTGGTTAGTTTTAATTTCGCATCTGAAGTCTTCCTGCAGTCTTCCATTTTTTGAAGTAGTATATTGGTTCATTTTAAGAGATGAGTTTACTCATCACTTTCTCACTCGAACTATTTGGACAAACACATTTTTTAAGCAGTTAGGACTACTGCAGGCTTGACTCGTGCTGGTTTAAGAAACTGCTTCGCTTTCCAAGTTGACGAGTATGGAATTTGAGTGGAACTATGGCTTACTGAGTTACTTCTCTTCTACTTTTATCTTGCCGTGTTCCCGTCAGATTTTATCTCCCAATTTTTTTTTCGCTTGTTTATAGGTGTCGGTGCACTTTAATCTAGTCGTGGTAGATGAGTTTTAGGCATAGACGCATTAAAAACTCATAAGTTTTGTCATATTTTTAAATTTACAGTTAATTGACTGTTCCTCCTACAGTTGTACTCTTTTTAAAGCAGCCTGTTTAGTTTGTTTCTAGTCATTAATTTAAGTATGTTTCAAGTTCTGTGCTTTCCAGGTTTTTTTTGTATATTTTCAAAATACTAACGTTGCTTTAGTTAGAGAAGCCGGTTGTGGAATCGCATTGCTGTTGCGCAGCTTTTAATGACTTTTTTGATTGACGGTTCCTATAAATTTTCTTCTGTGAAATAACTAAATCTTGTGAAGTAGTAACCTTATATTTTTAGGAAGCTACAGGCCCCATCAGAAGCTTTACGGTTTGTGAGGAAGCTAGTAATGGTGAGACTTTAGGCATTTTGAAGCTGTTATTTTGTGTCTATGGTTATCATTTGTTTGGTTTTAGTTGACAGTTCAAAATTCTCTTGATTGCAATGACATTTTTCTGTTCCATTTTGCGGAATGGAATTTGAGCGCAGCTCGCTTAATTCTTCGTGACAGAAAATATGTTTGGAGTTTTTTGAAAACATATTTCAGCGTTTTAAGTTTTTTACTCTTTAATAAATGAGAATATACTCTTTGTATTGGAAAACAGGAAGGAGCAGTAGATGAAAATATTAGCCAAAGAACTGCGCATTTAAAATATTACCATTTCCAGACGGGAACAGTTTCAAAAACAACTATCCAACAAAGGAAAGAATCAAAGTTAGCCTCAAAGGACAACAGAAGAATGCAAAAGTGAAGGGCAGAAACAAACAAAGTAGAAGACGGAAGTTGGAAGAGTTCGACAAAGACAATAACAATAGCGATTACTCTGACACAAGTGCAGGGAAAAAAATGAAGCCTTTTGGGAAGGCAAAATTCAAAGCAGAAAAATGGAATATGGTTTTTCAGGTTTGTCTCTTACGAGAAATAGTAGTTTAGCTTTCTATTAATTTTCACCTTAATTGGAACATCTGCATCTTCCAGCTTCTAGCAGAGTCGTTAATTAGTCAGTTTAAGTTTGGAAAAGTCAAAAAACTGTTTTCCTAATGAATGGTTTGATAATTTTAGAGAAAAGCATTCTTGATTCGGTACTCTGACGTGGACTTCTTCGACTCTAACCAAATATGGTGTGTGGTAAACCATAAGGTTATTCGTAAATATGTGTTGGATCGATGCCTCACTGAAGGAGAAAGAGTTTATAAAAAAACCAATCGGGTAAACAAATTGATTAGTCTCTCAGTGTTTGTAGTTCCAGTTGCTAGTTGAATTTCTTGCTGTTTCGAATCGTTTTATAAATCTTGAAAGTTGATAGTCAGGTCCGGCTCAGTTTACTTCTCTTTTTAGCTAGCTGGATGGCTTTGTAACGAGTCTCAACATTATTACCCTGTTGAAGTGATAGAGGTTGGAAAAGATTATGACGAGGTTACTATTGTTTATCCGGAAATTGATGCTCTCCGGATGGCAAGGAACGCATTTAAAACTGAAGAAACTGGGGATGAAAAAGTTACTTTGACCGCATATGAGAATAGCATTGTAAATTTTTCTTCTACAGTCCTTCTACTCATTGAGTTGACTTTTGTTTAACAATATATGCGCACTACCAGAAAAGTTGCGCAGAATTCTTACATTTCGCTCTTTGCTTTACTCTACACGGCTTTTAAAACTTGATAGACGTTTGTCAAAAATTGCTGTCGTGGGATAGGTTATAAGATCGCTGCTCGCTCACCAGTCCGTGACGAATGAGGCAGTCGTGAGGAAGTTTGGTGATTTTTGTTTCTTGAATCTTTAGTTTAGTTTGGAGAAAGTTGAAGATATTTATTGGGATGTGGAAAAAGTGAGAAGAAAATGAGACTGGTAATGGGATTTTTAATTGTATTACTGCGTGCTGAGCCTTATTTGTCTCTCTTATTATGAATAAATTAATGGTATTTAGCATTCAAAGTTTTCAGTTTTTTAGGAGATTCACGTCGTGGAGTTTAGCACTAACCGTGGCAAGAAGAGTCTACAAAAAAATAATCTACAAAATGCTTTTCAGGGAAGTAATGATATCGTGGAAGCTAAGGTTGAGGTGGTCGAGGAGCATGAAACATATTCACAAATGCCTAGCACTAGTGTAGCGTCGGATGCTGCTGATCCTTGGGGAACAACTCTCCTTGAAGAAGAAGATGACGAAGAAGAAGATGAAGAAGTTGAAGAGGATTGACATTTGAGAGGTACGCGCTTGCTTTGTTAAGAAATTTTCGGTGGCTGCGAATAAGTGATTGTTTTTGCAAGGTCGCTAAGCGCTTCAACACTTTTTGCTAGCTTTTTCGCACTTTTTCATGTAAAACCGAGACCTCCAGACTTGGTTACACATAAAGCTGGTTCAGTTTGAGATGTTGGTAGGTACCTCTGCTTACCAGTTTTCTTGGCTTCTTAGGGCTGAGCTATTTTAAATAGTTTTTCCCATCTACTGGATTCAGTCATCCTTGTGTTTTGTGAATTTGTTCGGAAAGCTTTGATCTGGAAGGCAGTTTTTGTCTGTTCGTGCAGCACGTCGTTTAGGGTTGGACGAAATGCTGCAGTATAGTCAAAGCCGCGTTGATGGAGGTACTGAGAACACTTATTGCTGCGTCAGCGGTGGCCAGTTTCTGGTTTTTTTGTCTTCAATGAATTATTGCAAACTTTGGTTATGATTGTAGATTCTGAACTGTGCTTTTCATACTGGTTATTGTTTTTTCCCTTGTTTATTGAAACCTGAAGTGTTGGAATGAAATCACTGCCTCGCTTCCTTTGTTAGTTTGGGTAGGAGAGATATAAGTCAACCATGGTTTCTAATCATATTCACAGCGATCTGGATGTTATACTTCATTGTTTTATTTCATTTTTTGTTAGTTGGGTGACAAGAAGTTTTTGTATTTGTGTCCACTTGTACGTTTGCAGGAAATAGGATTTTCCTTGTACGTCGTCCTAACTATTCAATCGCCTGTTTGGTCTCTAAAAGGCTTCTGACGAAATAGATTGATAGTGCAATGATAATTGTGAAAACTAATAGTGAAGCTGGATTCCATGCCAGTTTCTGACCATCGCATTCGCTAATTTAAAAACAGCGAGCGTTTTCGTTTTAGATAGAATAGCACGCACCGCTCTACATGAGAACAGTCACTCCTAACTTGATAACCGGACTTGCGACTGCGGTCCTGCAGGAAGTGGGACAGGCAATTACTTATGAAGGAACTACTACTCCCACGAATACAGTTACTGAACACGAACAGCAAGTACAAGGACGACAGGGATCAAAATTTTGATTGTATTTGTAAAATTAAAGTGTTTATGTGACAAGCAACGAGTAACGGAGCGAGAAGTTAATAAAAGGTAGGGAAGACTTAGCATTTTGCCGGTGCCCTTTCTGATTGACTACCTCTAATCTGGCTACTCACATTTCCACTTTGTATTGCACTCCAGCTGTTCTGGATCGTCTCTGCAAGGTTTGAAGTATTTTCCAGTTTTACGTTCTAACATTTTGGATGGGTTTTGAGTCCGGATTTTGTAGTGTTTTAAAAAGTTTTGAACAAGAATCTTGACTTTCTTTTTTCTTGGTCACTTAATAGCAAGAGATAAGGCTTTTTTTGGGTCGGTGTCTGACTGCGCAACCCAGTTTTCAGGAGTTGCGCTCTCAGGATATAGCAGAAGAAAATCACTTAAGACACTGACAAAATCACGAAAACAAAAGTTTTCCCGATTTGGAAAATTATCGCTGAGCTACTTTAGATAATAACTCTCTAAACTACATTTGGTTCATCTGCCTACCTTTGCGCTGCCCTGAGTGCAGTTAAGATTGAACGCATCGCTCCTTACTCCACTAAAGGTTCTTCCCTCTGTGCCTATCAAATTAAATCCAAACTTGTTGGTAGAGATTGTTCGTTGTCAGCCGGCATCTGTTCATCGAACATGGTCCTTAATAAATTGTAACGATGTTTCAGTTTCTTGGCTGATACTAACGATTTCTTCCGCGCAACGCGGGCAAATAAACCAAGTTTTTGACAACTCCCCTTGCAAATGAAATAATCTCGTCCCGACAAGCAATTGCTTATTGGAAGTAATTCAGTTTTCACTTCGGAGTAATTCTTCTGAGAGGCCATTTGTAAGGCTGATTTGCAAAAATTGTGAGAATTTTTCAGAACTGTGCGCGTTTTCCCCCGGTATCCGCCTTGAACAACAGTTTTTTTGATGGCGGGACTGGCTCCCTGCGTGCTGTGCAGGAGGTCTTTTGCACACCTTCAAAACACTGTTGTTGCTCTCTTTAGCCGTGACGACGCCACTGTGGAATTCATTCTAGTAGAGCGGGTTCTTTTTATATAACCCGCCTCTCTAGGGCGGAGAGGAACTAGTGCCACCAATCTAACATGGATTCTCCGTTTCAACTGTGAAAGAAAGGGATGCATACTTTATTGTGGAAGGCATTAATTTTTATATCAGTTGCAGTTGCTGCAAACTAATTCCAGTTCCGTTCCAAGCTACAGTGGAAGAAAGAGTACTATTTACAATTCTTGCGGTCATAATCAAGTAGATTAAGTATGACTGGTTTTAAAATTTTCCAAGCACCGGTCGTTTTCCGCAGTAGTTTAAAAGCAAAGAGCACTAGAAAACTATCTAAGGCTGAAATTACAATTCAAAATCCTCCAAGGATTTTCAATGGAGAAACATATCCACATCTGAACTGTTGTAGAGTTAAAACCAAAATGACAGTCGAAATATCTTGTACGTCAGGTGAATAAAACAGTAAGTACTACCATTCAAAATATACAAGTTAGGCTAATCATTACATTGTTACATTTAGATTACTGGGATACAAATAATAAAGACTAAAAAACCAAAACATTAAAAAATCCAAGCGTGCCTTTGAGCAGTTGTTACTTTGGAATAAGACACTTAATAGACGTGTAGTTGCCCGATGCGTTTTATGAAGTGCTAAGCACTTTCTTCATTCTTCCGAATACTGGAGCTGTCAAAATGCCGTCCTCTATCGCTATTTGGGAACGATTACTGCCTTAAATAAATCTTTGCTGTCATCATAGAGGAGACCCGAGATAACTCTAAAAGTTCTTCTAGTTTTATTAACGAGTTATCAGCGCAGTTTAGGAACGAAAAGAGTGGTCAAACCCTACCGAGACGGAGCGAATATAAAAGTTGCGGAATGTGTTCAGTATTTATGAAAATGCCATTTTTAGACAAGATCTTATTCGTAACATGCGATAAGTCACAATGTGCCGGTACTGCCTATTTGCTACTGCGACAACATTATTTTTGTAAAGCGACACCCTGCCAGATTCAAATATCAGATATTATCTACGACGATATTAAATTATTAGGGGAAAACCTCAGGTACAGTAAAAGCATATAATTTGGATAAATAATTAAAAGGAAACCGGAAAACAGGACCATCTCTCCTATTTGGACAAAACCCGATTGTATGGGCTCGGTCAGCTGTTGCTTTGCAGTAAGAGCAAACTATTTGACGCAGTTTGGGACATATAGCCCTTCCCACTTCATCATGGGTGCTGAAATCGTCGTTTATCTAGCAATTGATTAGAAACTTGTTTAAAAATTAAAATTCTAGATTAATCTGCTACAAGAAGCAAGTGGTATTTGAATACAACATTACTTCTTTTTCAAATCTTGCTAATGGAAGAGCAAAATACTGCTATTTTGATTTTAAATTAGTGGTTATAAATATGCTAAAGTTCCGCAGTCCTCAGACCAAAACACTGGCATTACCGCACCGAGAGAAATAAAGCAGTAAAAGGACGAAAAGTGGTTTGATGCAAAAGTGAAAGCGACTCCGCACATTTATTTAGAGAGGAACATGAGAAAAGCATGAAATTTTAAAGAAGCAAATAAAATTAACTAAAACAGGACAGGATCTCAATTTCTACACTTATGCTGGATCAATATTTAATT